TATTTGCGAAAGTAAATATTCCTTTTTTTTCGTAGTTCTATAATATATTTTTGAAAACTTAACAATTTGCTAACCAAGTCTTTTGGTAGTTTTTGTGATACTTTGGTTTTTTCACGTAGAACTAAATTTTTCGAGCCATAAATCGGCTACACCAACTCACAGTAGCCTTGAAATTTTCACTCTCATGTGGATTAATCTTTGCCCATTTTAGAGCAAACAAGCGAACACAGTTTCTTGTTACAATCAAGCCGTTTTGCCGATTTACCAAAACCCAGTTTTCTACATTGTTCTCTAACGCCGGCCATTTTGTTAGTCCTGTACGCAATGCACACTTATCCTTAGGCATATCCATTGTTTTCTCTTCATTTTTCTTCCATTCACGCACCGAGCTTTCGCCAATACCAAAGTGTCTCGCCGCAGCCCGATTTCCATTTTCTTTCGCAAATTGAATTACTTTGCATTTAAATCCAGCGCTGTGTTTGCTTCGTTTGATAGGAGCCATGTCTACTACTAAAAACTACACTGAATTCTTAAAGCTTACAATGTTTACTTTTCAAAGGCAGGGCATCAAATGGTGCGATTGGCTGAAGAGAAATAACGATTTGTCTCCTGATTTGAGATATGCTTTTGAGACATACACAATAGACAGCATTCCAGATACCCCTCCCCCCCTTACTTCTGGAATGTGGTGAAAGACATTGTTGCAAACACCTGCACTGCTGAATACAACAATCGCATTTCTCAGAATCACATTACTCTTTCAACTCTACCCTCACATACATGTCAAATTCAGTTCTTTTATTTTTGCAAAAGATAGGGGGGAAAAACTTTTTATTTACTATCTTGAAAGACGAGATATTGCACATGTACAATCCAAATTATCGTGCGCGTTATGCGCCGGAATATACGGTACTTACTTTAGTTTCTACAGAGAAGGCATTTCTGCGTGAAGTCAGTGGCTCCAACGCTGGTGAAGTTTTTCTATCAGTTCGACCCACATATTTTTTGTCAATCTAAATTGACTTCTAAATTAATTGTCTGCATATTGGAAAAACTTAAATCTTTCAGGCCGATTGATCTTTCTTTTAATGGTGTTTCTATCACTCTTTTCAGCAATAGCCAGATGTAGGACAAAAAACAGCGTCATTTTGATCACTAAAATAAACAAACTCTTATCGGAATCTAGATTTCGCTTACGAATCCGAAACCTGCCGGAATCGGATTCGTCATTACGATTCGTAATAACGAGAGCTTCATTTCGATCGGAATCAGATTCCGTGAAGCTGGTAATAGGGCCCTTGGAATCGGGAAATTGTTTTGCGGGAAAAAGTACAGTGGTTACATTCAGTCAATTCTACAGATTGGAAATGAGTAGCAATAAGAAAAAGCGAGTTGTTTCTATAGAAACAAAATTAGAAGCAATTCAAAGATTAGATAAAGGTGAATCAATAAAGAAAGTAGCGAGAGATCTCGGAGTCGGAGCTGTTACTGTTGGCGATTGGAAAAGGAAGAGAAATGAAATAGAAATATGGAGTGCAGAAAAGGCTAATTGCAGTTTACGAAAAACAATGAAAAAGTGTGAATTCGAAAAAACATCCGAATCATTATTCCTATGGATCACACATTTGAGAGAAAAGGGAAGTCCTATATCAGGGCCTATGCTACAAGCAAAAGCATTGGACTTTAATAAGCTTTTCTATGCTGGAGAACATTTCATTGCTAGTAGTGGATGGTTGGAAAAAGAGATATGGAAATTGTCAATTAAATATACCAGGAGAAAAATTATCAGCTGACTGTGAGGAGGTGATTAAATTCAAAGAAAGTTTTAAAAATATCATTGCAAAAGAAAATCTGAAAATGGAGCAACTTTTCAATTGCGATGAAACAGGACTTAACTTTAGAATGCTGCCTTCAAAAACTCCTGCGGGACAAAGAATGAAAGGTCAGCTCCGGGGTACAAGATAAGTAAAGAAAGGGTAACAATATTAGCATGTTCGAATGCATCTGGAAACCTAAAACTAAGAACAATGTTGATTGGCAAGTCGAAAAAACCTAGAGCATTTAAGAACGTTTATATTCCAAGTTTACCAGTGTATTACAAAAATCAAAAAAGTTCTTGGATGGATGCGGATTTGTTCAAAAAATGGTTATTTTGATGAATTCGTTCCTAACGTAGAGACATTCTTAAAAAATCAAAATCTTCCAAGGAAAGCAATAATACTGCTTGACAATGCTCCATGTCATCCGAATGATGATGAATTGGCGAGTGACAACATTAAAGCCCTTTTTTTGCCTCCCAATGTCACATCATTTATTCAGCCTTTAGATCAAGGTGTTTTGGAGAACATAAAGAGAAATTATCGAAAGAAATTACTAAAATTTCTTATTGAAGGAATTGAGGAAAATAAAAGTGTTCCTGAGACACTTAAAAGTTTAAATGTAAAGGATGCTGTCTACTGGATAGCGGAGGCATGGGATGAAGTAAAATCAGACACCATAAAAAAGTCGTGGAGGAAAATTATCGATACACAGAGTACAAAAGCTCATCAAGGAAAGTTCGTGATGAGCTTTTAGATTTAGTCATTTAACTGCCACTAGCTGAGCCTTTAAACGAAGAGGATATACGTGACTGGATAAATGCTGACGAACAACAAGAAATTACGGATGAAATGATCGTCAATAATAAGGAAAAGGAATCTAGTGATGAAGACAGTGAGGATGAAAATCGATATATGAAAATTTCACATACAGATAGATTAAAAGCTATCGAAATTGCTATTGAATACATAGAACAACAAGAAGAAGCAACACCAGCAATCCTGTTATCTTTAGAAAAATGGCGAAACATTACTGCAGAAAAACGCCAAAGTAAAGTTATGCAAACAACAATTAAGGGTTTTTTTAAAGTAAGAACTCTTTAATTATCGTAAAAATATGAATTGCATGTGGTGAATCTGTATAACCTTTCTATTTGTTAAAATATACATTTAAACCTACACGATTTATCTTAATTCACATTTTTCGCTTTAACCGAGTTTTTCGGTTATCCGAGTTAGTCTTGGTCCACATTAACTCGGATAATCGGGGCTCTACTGTAAATCCAATAAATGTTTTTATAGTTATTCAAATTGGCGGTCATAAAAGATATTTATTATTGATTATATTGTTTCCGCTTCGAATTATTATGAACAGCACAGAGTGAAACCTAACCTTGTTATATTTTGGAAGTAGTGACGCCTTCAGTATACAACACTGTATGTTATCACCTTTTACTGTGATGTTTTATTATTTTCCCATTATAGAGTTAATTTTATTTTAAACTATAATTTTTTTAAATTTGGTTTAGGCTATTCTTACTGGTTAATTTCCCTATTGTATTAAGTATGATTACTGTTAAATAAGAATCTAACATTTATTGTAATAACACTTTCTAATAATAATATCACACCTCTGCACAAGAACTCACAAATCTTTTCTCATATTTTTTAAAGACATTCTAGTTTCAGTTTGTAAACAGAACAACATCGAATGCAGTGTCTGTGGAGAGCTTATTATTCGGGCAACATTCACCTCTTATAAAGAATTTATCTTCTTCTTTCTACAGAGTATACAAAAAAAAAAAGACTATTTTACAGTTGTGACATTTATTTTTCTATACTCAATCTCTTAAAATAATAATGCTAATTCAAAAAAGCATTATTTAAAAATTTGACTTGAGATATTGGTTTAAAGAAAATATGGTCAATGAATTTTTTGAAAAGCACTGTTAAGATAAGGCTGTTCTGTATACTGCATTTTTATACTGAAATGTAATTACAGTGACTCACAAAAGTGTTGGTACACTTATGACTTCCAATGAAGTTTACTTTTAAAAAATCAATGATCAAAAAGTAACTAAAACTTTATCGCACATAGTGTCATTGTACACTTTCAAAAAAATCTCTGCCTATTAGTAAATATTATGATTTTTTTAATTAGAAATATTACGTACAGTTTCCTTTCACATCTGCGATAGCTTTTATAAATTTGCAAACTTATTATGTTGTAGGAAATTCCAGCAGAATATTTTTTACCATATTTTACACAAACTGAGGAAGAAAAAAAGAAATATTACGGCGAAGCAAAAATTAAAATATAATGTTGCTATTATAAGTTTGATACTAAATTTCAAAAAGATATGTTAAAGAAATAACATTTTGATTAAAATATTTTATAATATACACATTTCTCTTGCACACATCTTACATAGAAAAGTAATGTAATTCTGAATATAAATCGTTTAAAAAAGAATGAATGAAATGGTAACTATTAAAGATCTTATTTGCCCCTGGACAAAATTTTGTCTTGCCATGGTAATGGACTCTTTACAAAATGATTTTTAAAAGCTTCTCCCTTATGGCTTTTTCCTCTTTCGAATAGGCATTTGATGCAATTTGCTTCGAATTCAGGAAACCTTCTCCCTTATCTTGGGTTTCCTGCGAAGTTAATTCCTCACGCCACTTGCCTTTTGTTATAATGCCATCCACTTTTGAGTCTGCATATGCACAAGGCAAGTAGTGGCGTTGCGTTGGCAGACAGTAGAATTAACTTCGTTTTGACAAACAAAATTGTGCAAGCAAACAACAGCTTTCACTATCTTCTCTACCGTTGATATCGAGGATACAATTGGCTTTCTCAATATTCGCCAACGACTGCTTGTTATGCCAAAAGTGTTCTCAATGAGCCTTCTGGCTCTGCATAGTCTGTAGTTAAAGGCCTCTTGATCTTGACTCATATTTTTGCCTGGATATGGCCTCATTATGTTCTTTTTCAGTTGCAAGGCCTCATCTGCTACGAATACAAGAGACAATTCTTCATTGCCCTGGGGAAGGCATCTGTCCCAGGGCAGATTAAGCCCTCCTTCAAACAAGAGTTTACCCAGCTGGGACTCTGAAAATATAGTAGAGTCTCCTTGCTTACCATATGCACCTATGTCCACAAATGTGTAGCAGTATGTGGCGTCACATGCTGCCAAAAGCACTACACTGTAAGTTCCCTTATAGTTAAAGTAAAGGGAGTCACTGTTCCCGGGAGCTTGTATGATAACTTGCTTGCCATCAATAGCCCCGACACAATTCGGAAAGTTTGTAATATCCAAAAAGGTAGATGCTTTCTGCTCCCACATCTGTTCATTCGGTTTTTTCAAGTAAATTGGAGTTAGGCAACCCCAAATACTTTCACAAGTTTCATTTATTATTGCAGAAACTGTGGATAAACCAATCCTGTGATTGAAGGCCATGCTTGTCATAGAATCTCCACTTGACAGGTATCTGAAAAATAAAAAATAGAGCAGAATTAATTAATATGCATTACATTACTTATTAATGAAAAAAGTNTTGTATAATAACATGCTTTCCATCAATAGCCCCGACACAATTCGGAAAGTTTGCAATATCCATAAAGGTAGATGCCTTTTGCTCCCACATTTGTTGATTCGGCTTTTTCAAGTAAATTGGAGTCAGGTAACCCCAAATACTTTCACAAGTTTCATTTATTATTGTAGAAACTGTGGATAAACCAATCCTGTGATTGAAGGCCATGCTCGTCATGGAATCTCCACTTGACAGGTATCTGAAAAATAAAAGATAGAGCAGAATTAATTTATATGCATTACATTACTTATTAATGAAAAAAGTTAGCTTAAAAATATAGCAATAAAATTATACTAGTAGACATTATTACAAATTTGTCAAAAAACCATATTTAGTTTAATTTTTAACAGGTAAAATATTTTTTTAATAATTTGTGCAATTATCTACCTGCATTCGGGTTTAGATATGAAATAGCAAAGTTGTTGATTCTTCCCATAATATTTTAAGAATTATTTTTTCTTTTCGGTATCCACTATTATAACACAGGACAGCAAATGTTACAAGCTGTGGGGCTAGTGAGGACAAGCCTGATTACTTATTAAACAGTCATTACTACAACCCGGGTATATCTAAAGCCAAGTTGAAATCTAAGCCTTATTGTAGAATGTATATTGGCGTATTTTAATTGAAATACTAATTGGTAAGTATTTGTTGTAGTTGTAGTTCATTTATGTCACACAAGAGCTACACAATGGGCTATTGGCGACAATCAATAGTATATTTTCAATAGTACCTGAGGATGATCCGAAGACATACTATCACAATTTTGATTTTCACTATTTTAAAAAGGCATATCACTATACTAATATAAGCAATACATTATATAAGCATTCCGCTATACTAAAAACAACATTTTGACAGCTAATCAATAAATACATTTGTAAATCATTACTCTATTTAATTTCTTTGAAACTACTACCAACTTTAATTTGAATAACCATAGTTTCAACTTGAAAGCTGAAATTGAACTACTTGAATGATGTTTGAATGGACAACAAATGTTTATTAATAAAAAGAGATAACTAGTAAAATTTTTCAATCACATAGCTTATTCTTTTTTGTTTTGTTTGTTAATATTTCAGTTTCAATAGTACTCTAATATTGCCCTTAATTATTAGTATTATTTAGTTTGTGAATGAAGTTTACAATTTTGGAAGAATTAACAAATACACAAAACCCATACTATTTTTAAAAAAAATTAAGTAAAAAAGTTCTTAAAGAAGACTTTATAAGTTGCAGTAGTATACAGAAATAAACTCTATTTATTAAATTTTAAAACACCTGAATAAATTATATAAAAATTAAACTAAACCTCATAATTCGGTACTTTTAAGCTGTTTTTTACAAATTCTTTACAGCTGTTCTTTACAAATAAGTTTTGAGATTCTCAATCTCAGTAATGATTTTTAAATATATTTTTACTTCTCACAAGAGATTGATCTGCAATATTTTCAATACATTAAACATTCTCAAAAACGATACTACTTAAGTGATACACTAGCACTATATATATGTCAATGTGAATAATTTGTTATTATTAGTAATAACAGTTCAATATTTATAGGACATGTATTAAAAATTGAAGTTTCCCAATTAGTGAATTTAAATTAACATTTATAATGTTTGAATAGATTAAAAATAATTATTGACTTAAGGTAGAAAAATATATATTCTTACCTCAGAGTAATACACAGTCTTTCTGATGCTGAGATGGCTTCTCTATAATTAGTATCCATCCTTGTTATAGAAGGGCCAATTAGTGTGAGCAAACGGTCAAATATTGCTGGGCCCATCCGAAAATATGTGAAGAAGCTGTCCAGGTCATTTAATCGCATTTCTTGGATTATATTATTAAAATGTCCCTGCTCTTTTCTTTTAAGATTTAACTCTTTCACCCATGAGCGCTGATTTGTTTTCAATAATTGTAGCAACTGAATTCTTCATTTTTTTCTTATCCATTTTAAAATACACTAATATAAAATAAAAATAACAATTAATAAGTACGTATAATTAAAATGAATCTTTAAATGAAATTTAGAAATTAAAATGAAAACAATGTTAATTTTGGCCCATTAGAACAGATCGTTCGAAGCAGCAAAACTTGGAAAATACACGAGAAAAAAACAGCAAAACAAGATTCTGAAGAAGAAGAAAAAAAAAGAGCTCTCGCTGTTAAATGTCTGTTTTTGCGCATGCGCGAAAATGGAAACGAGTTTGTTGTATCTTGCGGTGTGAAGGTACTTGAAATCACGTGCAGCAGAGGAGAAAAATCGTGATTCGCATCGTTGTTGGGTTCGGTGTGTAGGCGCCTTAACTTGTTGAATGTTATGCGATACCGAAAACAAAAACATGAGCACACAGCTGTTTGGCGATTTGCGAGAAAGCTCCTTAAACGAAATTTTCGCCTACCCTTTGTAATCTACGGTATGTTTTGGCAATTCGCGTCCGGCGCATCTCTGCAATTATAATTGATTAAACAGTACTACTAGGGGAATAAGACAATATAAATGATCTAAATAAAATCAGATAAAAAGTATGAGTACAGTATAAAACGCACGAAGTGAGTAAAATGTACGAAGATTTTAAGATATTTACAAAAGTGTACAAAACAGTAGATGTGCTAAAACTTTTATATGCAGTTAAAAATACCAACGACACGTAAAAATGTTAGGATGGTGAATACTATCCAGTAAATCTTGTATGCATAGAATAAGAATTCCCAAAGAACTTTAAACGATTTTGATTAAAACTTGAACACGTAATAAAATGAGATAAATTGCGATTTAGATTTTTTTTGTTAAAATTTATTAAAACACAATTTTTTTTCTTCTCTGTATTTACTGTTAACTGTAATGGTTACTAATGCAAATACATCCAAAAAAGTAAAAATTTCACTGTTTTAGAAAAAAAAGGTATCGAACGTAGGCAAGTAGTTTAAGATTCTCTTAAGCGGTGGGAGACTGGTTGGAGTCCAATTCTTGCCAAGAAACTGTTTCCAAGGTGTTCATGGTGGTGAAAAATAATTTCTGTTAGAACGTGACGTCATTGGAATTTCATTTCATGAAGCTCATGGTAGGATTCCAGAGGGGGAACGTTTTCAATTCAAATTTCACAAGCTTAGAAACGTGCTGCTGCAACTATTACCGTTTCGCTTACAACAATTAAATGAATTAAAAAGAAGATATCTTAAATGGACAGTTATCTTAACCGGGAAAACATCGTAAGCGTCTTGATTATACAGAAACGCAATTTTAGACAGTTTTAATCTCCGTGTTATTCGAAACATAGTTAATAAGTTTTATGTAAATAAAAGAAATCGGTCTTTACCACGGTTGCTTCCTGAGGAGAAAAAAAGAATAAATTTTCCATGGAGAAGAGGAACTCTGTGGAAATATCTCCATATTGCAGGTATTCAAGATAAACGTTGCAAAAACCAGAGGCATATATTAATGGAGCGATCACACATTGTAAGCTGGAGATTCCGTTTTCTCCCAGAAGTAAGAAAATTTCGAGAAGAAAAAAGGAACATCTATTTAGATGAAAAGCGACTGGAAAGCAATCTTTCTTTGGAAAAATGTTGGACATATGAAAAAGTTAGAGTTACTATGTAAGATAGAGCAGGATATCGTCTGATTTTGATGCATGCAAGCTTCAAATCTGGTTTCATCCCGAATACCGGCTTAATATTTAAAGCAGGATTGGATTTGCTTCTGGAGATTACCATCGACAGATGAACTTTGAAAATTTCGAAAAAATGGATAATTGAGAAGCTGTTACCAAATATTCCTCCGAATCAGGTCATCGTTATGGTTAATGCAGATTACCATACAAAAGTGCTGAATCCTGTACCAACAAAAGACAAAATGTGTGTCTGGTTAGAGAAAAAGCAGATTATACACAATAAAAAAAAGGCGAAAAGTTGAATTATTTGAATTAATTACAGCAAATGCACCTTTCGAATTAAAATATTGCATTGATGCACTCTTAAAAGGACAGGGGTATGATGTTATGAGACTCCTCACTTATCATTGTGACTTAAATCCCATAGAATTAATTTAGAAAGACATTAAACGTTATGTAAGAAAGAAATGTGGCTGCTTACAATATGTTTAAAATCTTGCTTCAGCAGCCATACAAGATATTTGAAATGAGAGATCAAAAAAGCATTGGCACATATTGAAAACATAGAAAAAATTATTGGAAAACAGACGAATTGTCGATTAAATTGTGGAAAATATTTCTTTTTCCATCAATTCTAACTCTGAGAGCGATTCTAGTAATGATAGTTTTGACGATGATATTTAATCTTGCACGTCGTAGATAAATCATATATGCTTGCAACGTTCATTTGACGACGGGGCTTTTCGGAACAACAGTGTTTATTTTTATAAGCAGTTTCAATTTTTTTAAAAATAAAATAAGCTGTGACATAATGAAGCAATTCAGATAAAATTATGACAAAAAAAAGCATGTGTAGAGCACAAATAAAGTACAGAAATGGGCATACTCTAGTTTTTGTTCTCTAAACAAGGATCTTCCTCAATGTCTAAACATCAAATAACAGATCATAAGTAGAGACTTCAGACTGCCTAGTTTACTCAAATTTTAACTGTGCCTGATGAAATCACAAGTTATAATTATTTCTTAACCTGTGAATAGTCGCGAAAGTAATAATTAGTTCCTTATTGCGTAACCCCATTTTATAGCCATTTATTTATTTTGAAAACTTTCTATTTAGATGCTTTTTGGTTCGCTGTGCGAGAAAGAATTCTAAGAATTAATAAAATTTTAAAAGTGTCGGAGGTCTACATTTTTGGCGACTTGTATGAAAAGTATGGTCATTTATTCTTCACTTCTGTTATTAAATCTTATCCTGTCGCTTATAGTTCTATTCTTCTTCTTTCTAATCCCTATTTCTAGCCTAGCTAGACAAGGTCCATGAGTTTGTTCACTTTCAAAAATTCTAAAACAAGTAAGGGTCTTTCTATAAGGTCTTGTTTCAAAAGACCGAGGCAGTCTAGTAGATGTTCAGGGGGATGCCTGGGCCGAAGAGCACATGGTACAGAGGGCAAAACACTTTTCTCCTCTTGAGTACCTCAGTGATTTCAGGTGCCCACAGCGGAGACGTGTGATGGCGGTTTGAGACTGACGGTGTTTGTCAGCTGTCAAACAGCTACCCGCTCTGGTACCAATTGTGACTGGGTGGAGTGAGCCATGCTGATTTATTTTTGGCTTTAGCAATGGAGAAGAGCTCTGAGGAGGTAAGAGACACTCGAGGCGCAGTGGTCTCAGCTGTTCTAACTATTACTATCATAACTAAAGCACAACACATAGCATATTGGCTGTTATTTAAATCGCAATTCTTAAAATATAGACTTTTTCAGTTCATTACAATTTAAATTAGTCTGCGTAAAATTTTTCGGTTCTTTTTCATAATACCGGAGCAAATGTCGCCAAGCAGACTTTTTGGCGACAGCATAGAGTCACCGGATCAAATCACACGAAGCAGACTTTATTGGCTACAACACACACATAAACAAAACGGTTGATATAAATGGTTCAAAAATTTTATTACTGTCAAGGCAGAAGCATTTTAATCTTGCTTAAAAAGGTTGTCCAGTGAGAGGACATCAAATTCCCTGTAAGTCCTAGAATTTCACTGAATCGAACAAATGATATTTAATTTTCAATTCTATTAAATAAGAAATATTTTATAATCTAAATTATATTATAACCTAAGGAAAATAATAGACAGATAATATAAACATTATACATTTGGAAATAAAGTAAATAATAAAGTGAAACCCCGATTTTACGTTTCTCAGGGGACTGGGTAAAAAAAAACGTAAAATCCGGGAAAACGTAAAATACGGGAAATACTTAGATAGCAAAAAATCATATAATAATAATGGGAAAATAAAACAAACTAAAGGTAGTAAAGATGACTCTTTCAAAAGGTACTATTAAAATCTATATTTTACGAAAAGAATATTAGTATTTAAAGAAAAAAACATACCAGTTCAAGATCACTTTTACAATTTTTGTTAAGAATCATGTAATTTAGGTGCAAAATAGTGCGTAATAGTAGATTGTTTTTTAGACATTGAGTTCAAAGTAAATGCCTCATCTTCCAGGACTGAAATCTTTTGCAAATTTTTTTCCTGGTCTTTGTATGATAGAAAATAGTCTTTCACTATTAGCAAACTTCTCAATGCTGTGTTGAAAGAAGGAACGGGCTGTGCTTCTGTTTCTTCTTGTTCATCTTCATCGGCGGATGAAAAGTCCATAACATCGTCCACGGATGGAGCAGTGGTTCTCTCAGCTTCGCATGTTGCTAAGTTTTCTCGGATGTACTCGTCGAAGTCATAGCTAACTGTTTCATTGTCATTCTCCGAGTCTAGTCTATCTAATCCTGCATCTGTTAACGGTTCATTAGAAGCTACGATTCCGCTTTCTTCAAAACAGTGGGNACAATGGTGCACTTTAACCGGTTATCTTTTCACCAATGGTTTCACAAATTTTCTTATGGCATGTATTGTTTTGATAAATCACAATTGAAAATTTAAATCTTCGAGTTAGCTTCGATACCTGTTTCCTCCGAGCGGAGCTCGGTCACCCGCTGGTAAGAATAATGGGAAAATAAAACAAACTAAAGGTAGTAAAGATGACTCTTTCAAAAGGTACTATTAAAATCTATATTTTTCGAAAAGAATATTAGTATTTAAAGAAAAAAACATACCAGTTCAAGATCACTTTTACAATTTTTGAAAAGAATCGTGTAATTTAGGTGCAAAATAGTGCGTAATAGTAGATTGTTTTTTAGACATTGAGTTCAAAGTAAATGCCTCATCTTCCAGGACTGAAATCTTTTGCAATTTTTTTTTCCTGGTCTTTGTATGATAGAAAATAGTCTTTCACTATTAGCAAACTTCTCAATGCTGTGTTGAAAGAAGGAACGGGCTGTGCTTCTGTGTCTTCTTGTTCATCTGCATCGGCGGATGAAAAGTCCATAACATCGTCCACGGATGGAGCAGTGGTTCTCTCAGCTTCGCATGCTGCTAAGTTTTCTCGGTTGTACTCGTCGAAGTCATAGCTAACTGTTTCATTGTCATTCTCCGAGTCTAGTCTATCTAATCCTGCATCTGTTAACGGTTCATTAGAAGCTACGATTCCGCTTTCTTCAAAACAGTGGGAAATGCACTTTTGTGTAACGTTTCTCCAAGCAGCAGAAATAAAATGCATAGCCTCCAGAACACTTAACTTTAGTTTGCAGGCGTCATTTAGGTTTCCGTTCTCTAGTTCAGCTACAGCTTTCCGGACAAGTTGCTTTCTGTAAAAAACCTTAAATGATCGAATAATGCCGAGATCACAAGGCTGTAATTTGCTTGTACAGTTTGCAGGAAAAAACTCAACACGCACATTAGATAGCTGCAAATCCGGATGTGCACTGCATTGATCGATGAACAAAATTATTTTGGGGTTCTGAAATTTCATCTTTTTATTCAGTTTCTGCAAAAAGTCTTCGAAAAGGGCTTTTGTTATCCACGCTTTTTTGTTTGCTTCATAATTTGTTGGGAAACTTCACGTTTTTAAAGCATCGTGGTTTGCGTGATTTTCCAACAACGAGTGGAGTCTCACTTCCATCAGAATTACAGCATAGTAAAACCGTAAGACACAATTTTGACATCTTCCCTCCGTGGCAGGAATCTCCCTTAGAAACGTAACTTTTATCCGGCAGAAGGTTAAAGAAAAGTCCGGTCTCGTTCGCATTGAATACGTCCTCTGGCTTGTATCCTTTGGTCAAATTTGGTAAATTTTTCTTCCATTCTTCTATTGTAGCTTCATCCACGCTTGATGATTCTCCGGAGAGCGATCTATACACAAGATTATGTCTTTTTTTCATCCGGTCAATCCAGCCATTGGAAGCTGTAAAGTCTTTTAAACCAAGTCTATCGGCGATTTTTCTCTTAATATGGTGCCATTTACAGGTACATTAGCGTCACGAGCCTCTTTAAACCATTTTACTAAAATCCCTTCCATCTCGTCGTACGGGGATTTTTTCATTGTTCTCCGTTTCTTGGCAATTTTTTCACCGACTTTTTCAAAGTTTTTATCAATGCATTATTTTTTCTGTATTATGGATTGCACGGTTGTTATGGGAATTCCTTGCAATTGAGCGAATGCTACTTTTGTTCCATGAAATCCATTAAACTGCTTAACAATTTCGGCTTTCTCAGCAACAGAAAAGTTTTTGCTCACCATTTTCGTACGAAAGGGTTTGGAATGCGACCACCTTGTGCTAAACAACAACAGAGTCTGAAAAGCTGTAGAAACGTAAAGATCCCCTTTGCGTTCCAAGGAAGAAAATAAGTCACTACATCTGATTGGTAACTGGAGTGTCTCTTCTCTTATTTGTCTCATTCCTGCTCCAATGAAATGTGTTGTTTCTGTACTTTGTTTCTTCGCCCGCTGCCTTGTCCGAGACAGGCAGCAGGTGTTCAACAAAGGAAGTGGGAGAGAGGATTAAAGTTCTAGAAAAAAATAGTCTGTGGAATGCGTTTCTGCTTTCATAGATTTACTTTCAACAACGTGGATGAGCTTTAATAAAGCAAACATAGAAAAAATATTGCTTATTAAAACATTTTTTTTTTCTTTCTACAAAAAACGTAAAATGCGGGAAATTCCGTAAATTAAAAACTTACAATTCGGGTAAAATTAACATTGGAGGTATACGGAAAAACTGGGTCCTGATGAAAAAAACACGTAAAATGCGGGAAAAACGTAAATTCGGGGGACGTAAAATCGAGGTTTCACTAGTACATAAAATGTTACACAACTTCAATACTGAATAAACAAATACAAGAAATCACTGTTCAAAACCCTATTAAAATATTTATTTATCACTTATATCATTATGATGAAATGTTATCCTTATAACATACAAAAACATTTATACCGCATTAATTCACAAAGAAGCAATCTGCTCCATCACATTACTAATTTTTTAGTGTCATCTTCTTTATTTTTAGCAATTTTTTTTTCAATTCTTTCTTAATCATTGCTGTTTTATTATTTTTAGCTTAAATGGCCAAATTTTCCTGATCTTTAAGCTTACGCTTTTTTGTATCTTCCTTCATCAACGAATGAGCATTCCGAATGTGCAAGTGGTTGTGAAATTTTATAGGAATTTAAGTTTTTCACCGTGGAAACAAAAGTACTGTATACCATTCTCTGTGATATCAGTTTCTTCTTTCAAATTTTCAATCAAACATTGCGGCGAGTTTACAGAGAAACCTCTCTCAACGTTCGCATTTCCGTTACATAAACTCATGGTGAGTTTCATGACTTTTGTGATTTCATCCGAATCTTTAAGGAGTTTAAATACATCTCTCCACAATACATCGACACAACTGTCAGTCCTATTAAATTTTTTCAGCAGTTCTGTACCAAGATTTTGTTTTAATGCACTTTTATATTGACGTTCAGCTTTATCAGCTGTTGGTCCATCAATCCAACTATTTTCAATGAGAATTGTAAGGAGATTCTTCATTTTCAGATAGGGGTCTTGAAATAATATATTCCTTAAAATAAACAAAAACTTTATTTGAGTTTAAATTTGCAGCAATAGCATTAATTTTGCCAAACTTATTATTTGACGTAAATATCAGAGATTCTGATTTTGAAACACCATAAGTTTGATTTCTCAAAATAAACTTTGAAAAAAATAATACATTAGAAACAAACTAGCATTATGATACTCACTGTTCAGTAGTGAAACAGGTTTTGTACATGATTTGCCAACCAAAGTAATATCCCCAGCATTAATTCCTTTTTTATGTTTGGAATTTTGACGTAATACCTTAACGTAGTCCAAAACCTTAGGACCACCTCAGCCTCACAATATTGGCAAAGAGCAGTTTTCTCACTGCCTGAAGCATCATTTACACAGTTTGAGCAATTGCTGCAAAAAAAAGTAATGTTTGATTGCTTTTAAGCACTTGGGTCCACAAATATTTTTCAAACTATATAGAGATTTGGGAAGTTTGTCGCCAATAATGAGATTAAATAATTCAACCAAATCAACAACTCCAACATCTGATAGCTGATGTCGAAAAGCGAAATTCAATATCATAACAATTAATTCACCCTTCGATAGTTTTATATGCGATTCAATATTTTCCAAGAAGTTAATTCTTTTAAGCAATCAGAATCCTTAACACTTTCATGTCCGGTGACAACACGTTGGTGCCATACACTAACAGCCGGTGACAACACATAGTAGATTTCGCGCGTTGCAACCTGATATTCATGTGACATTTTGTCAAGGGACAATAGAGTACAGGGATGCCAACTGCTCCGCTTTTTGGAATAGTTTTAATAAAGTGGTAGCAAATTTAGTGATGTGCGAAAAACGAACTAATCGATATTTTAATCAACTCTTTTTTGTGAATCGATTCATCAAGTTCGTTTTTAAAAAAGAATCGATTCTTTTTTCCACTTTTTTTTTTGTCAATTTGGTACTCTACATTGTATAAGCTTATATAGAGTTACTACTTATACTTACTAAACATCCGCATATGCATTTGATACAGCATTTCGTTTATACAGTAGGAGCATGCTAAAATCCCAACGCAGTCGATGAGACACAGGTACATTCTCAGTTGAGTAACATATGAATGACAGTCTGATTGGTTGAAAATATTTACATGCGCAAAACTTGCCAAGTGGAAAAAGCACATCCAATGAGAATGGCCTCGATGTCAACGCTAGTGCCCCGCCGGTCTCCAGAGGAGATTAATAAAATGGACTCACTGAAACGAATTGAAAATGCTATTAATGCAATACATATTGCATTCTGATGCAGTGAAAAGTGTGCATTACTTTCTCTTTTTTTTCTTTTCATCTAAGAAATTAATTATCCCTATTGATAAACAGTTTAAAAATGGCAACAACAGCTGAAAGGCTGTCTTCTACAGTTTCGGTTCATCATTTCAAATAAAAAAGATATTAAAGCTGTAAAGCTCAGATATTACTTTTCAGTTCTTTAGTATTAAAGGGAGAATTTTTTTATTTACACATTTAATTTTCAATTTATAAATTTCAGTCAATGTGAAGCAAAACAAAATTTTATGTTATCGTTTATTCTATGCCAAGAAGCGAGGGCTCTAGAAAATGAAACCGTTGCGCTGATGGGGTAATGAAATGAAGTATGAATGCAAACCTCTGATTGGTTGAAAATGAGTTGATTGAGAGAAAAAGAGCCGAGAGTCAAATGAACGACCCTCTGCTTGGTTGAAAATGAGCTGAATGCAAGAAAAAGAATCGAGAGTCGAATAAACGACTCAATGAACTGTTTGCCTATCTCTTAGCATTAAAAGAATCGATTCTTTTAAACTGTTTCCTATCCCTTAACATTGAAATCGGCTCAAAGAGTTGAATTGAACTTCTAAACGATTCATTTGAGTCATTTCGTATCTCTTAACATTGATATCGGCTCAAAGAGTTGATTTGGACTTGTAATCGGTTCTTTTGAGTCGTTGCATTCGATTCACTGAACTGTTTAAACGATTCTTTGAGTTGGTTATTCGATTCATTTGGTTTGTATCTTTTAACATTAAAAGAACTGTTTTGTGAAACGAATCGATTCTTTTTGCTATTACATCTTATTTTCTAAAATTAAAGGGTACCTTCAGAAGGATGGGGGTTATAAAGAGGGGCAAGTAACCAAAAATGTTTAGAAAAAAATACCTTTTTTTTTTCTTTTTTAAGAAAAAGAGAAATATAATATTTAGAGTTTTTTGGTTTGGAATATTTTTAGACAAATTTATTGAATATTCAGTTCACATCCTCTCACTTTATAAATCCAGTGATTTCGTTAAACGAAAATGTTTCTTTTTTTTAAGGGGAGGGATGAGGCAATTTTTTAAATTTCTTATGGTAGGCGATAAATAATATGTCATGCCACTCCAGATGATTGTTTTTCTTTACTGTAGTCATTTGAAAATAAAGTACAAATTGACAAACGATGAAATATTAAATTTTCATGGCTTCCTACATAACTGTTAAAAAAAATTCAATAAAAAGAAATGTGTCTGTAAAAGTTTTTACCTTTGCATTTTTGTTGTCTTCGTAAAACGAAAATTTACGAAGGTGGAGGTACGGGATCAGCCTTGGAGGAATGGGATTTTTGAATCGATTTGTTTTTAAAGTTTTGAAACGCATTTTAAACTATTAAAATAAAACTACCGTTTTATTTTTTTACGAGTATCTTTATTATTAATTATTGATCTTTATAGTGACAAATTTAAAAGAAAAAAAAATTAATTAAATTGTATTTTTAAACAAATATTAAAAAAAAAATGAAAAATATTAAAATTCTAAAAAAATAATTAGTATTGCCTAGATTAGCAGTTCCCAAAAGGTGTTTCCAAAGTCATTTTTAGGAAAGAGAACTTTTTAAAAAATAAGTTTTAAAAAAATAAACATTTTTTCAA